AGCTTTACTGAACTATATATAATTCACATACCATAAAATTCACTTTTTAAAAGTGTACAATTCAGAAGTTTTTGGCATATCCAGAGTTGTACAGCTATCATCACTAAATTTCATCAACCCAAAAGATACCCAAATCCACTAGCAGTCACTCCTCATTCTTACCTCCCCTGGCAACAAATTTACTTTCAATTTCTATGAATTTTCCTATTCTGGACATTTCATAAAAACAGAATCATAGAATATGTGCTCTTTGGGGCTGGCTGTCTTCACATAGCATAATGTTTCAAGGTTCACCTCTGTTGTAACATGTATCAGTACTTCGTTCCTTTTTATTGCTCAACAAGATTTCGTTGTATGAATATACATTTTGTTTATACATTTATCAGTTGATGGACATTTGGGATGTTTCCACTTTTTTGGCTATTACAAATAATGCTGTGAACATTCAACTGCATGTTTATGGTGAACAGATGTTTTCAATTCTCTTGCATATATACCTAGAAGTGGAATTATGGAGTCATATAGTAATTCTATGTTTGACATTTTGAGAAACTGTCAAATTGTTTTTCATAGTTTTCAAAGTTTCACAATCCCACCAGCAATGTATGAGGGCTCCAGTTTCTCCATATCTCTAAAATTTCTTAATGTCTGTCTTTTTATTTTAGCCATTTCAGTGGATGAAAAGTGGAATTTCATTATGATTTTGATTTTTGTTTCCCTAATGGCTAATGACATTGAGCATCTTTGCATGAGCTTATTGACCATTTCTTTTTTAAAGAATCTTTTGCCCATTTTATAATGGGTTATTTGTCATTTTCTTATTGAGTTTTAAGAGTTCTTTACATATTCTGAATGCAAATATAAACTGTAAATATTTTCTCCCAATTCATGAGTTGTCTATTCATTTTCTTGATGGACTTCTTCAAGCTCAAAAGTTTAATTCTGATGAAGTCCAATTTGTTTATTTTTGCTTTTGTCACTTGAGCTTTTGGAGTCATAAACAAAAAACCACTGTCTAATACAAACATTATAAGGATGTATACCTACAGTTTCTTCTGAGAGTTTCACACTTTAAGATCTTACATTTAGATCCATGATCAATTTTGAGTAATATTTTGTATATAGTATGAAGTAGGGGTCAAAATTCATTCTTTTGAATGTGGATATCTAATAGCTCCAAACCATTTGGTGAAAATATTATTCTTTCCCATTGAAATGTTTTGGCACCCTTGTCAAAAATCAATTTTTGGTTGTCAAGTATAAGATTTTATTTTTGAACTCTCAATTCTATTCCATTAATTTATATGTCTAGACTTATACCAGTCAGTCTATGCCTTGATTACTACATCTTTGTACACTGAAATCAAGAAATGCAAGTCCTCCAATGTAAGAGACTAAATTATATCCCCCAAAATTCATAACATGGAAACCCAATTGACTATATTTGGAGATGGAGACTTTAACAAAGAAATTAAAGTCAAATGAGGTTGCTGTGGACTGAATCGTACCCACCCCCAACCACTGCCAAGTCTCCTATGTTGATACACTAACTCTCATGTGATGGTATTTGGAGATGGGGCCTTTGGGAGATAATTAGGTTTAGATGAAGTGATGAGGCTCAGGCCCTCATGATAGGATTAGTGCCCTATAAGAAAAGACACCAGAGTTTGTTCTCTCGCTCCCTCTCTCTTTCTCTGCCATATCAGGTTACAGCGAGAAGGTGGCCATCTGTTAAGTCAGGAAGTATTCTCACCAGAACTCAACCATGCTGGCATCCTGATCTCAGACTTCCAGCCTCCAGAACTATGACAAAATAATTTCTGATGTTTAAGTCACCCAGTCTATGGTATTTTGTTATAGCAGCCTGAGCTGACTAAGACAGAGGGGATAAGGGTGAGGCCCTAATACCACAGAACTGGTGTTCATATGAAAAGAGGAAGAGACTAGGAGTGTGCATGAACAGAGGAAAAGCCATATAAGGACACAGTAAGAAGGCTGCAAGCCAACGAGAGCAGTCTCACCAGAAATTCACCCTGCCAGCACCATACATAATCTTGGACATCTAGCCCCTAAAACTGTGAGAAAATAAATTCCTGTTGTTTAAACCACCCAGTCTGTGGTATTTTGTTATGGCAGACCTAACAGACTAATTCATTCACCTGTATTCTTTTTCAAGATGGCTTTGGCTATTCTGGATACCTTACACTTCTATATGAATTTTAGGATTCACTTGTCAATTTCTGCAAAAATGCCAGCTGGGATTTTGAGAGAGATTGCATTGAATCTGCAAATCAACTTTTGGGAGTACTGCCATCTTAACAATATTAAGTCTTCTGATCTGTGAACATGAGATTGTTTTCATTTACTTAAGCCTCATTAATTTCTTTCAATAATGTTTAGTAGCTTTCAGTATACATGTCTTATAATTTTTTTGTTAAAGTTATTCCCAAGTATTTCATTCTTTTGCATGTTGTTGTAAATTGTTCTTTTTTCATTTTTGGATTGTTCATTGTGAGCATATGGAATTATAATTGATTTGTGTGTTTCAATAATATATTCTGCAACCTTACTGAATTTATTAGTTTTAATAGATTTTTATTGGCTTCCTTAGGAATGTGTGTGTGTGTGTGTATATATATATCATCTGCCAATGGAGATAATTTTATTTCTTCATTTTTAATCTGGACGTCTTTTACCTTTTTTTCTTGCTTAATTTCCCTAGCTATAACCTTCAATACAATGTTGAATAAAAGTGGCAAGAAAGGGCATCCTTGTCTTGTTCCTGACCTTAGAGAGAAAGCATTAGTCTTTCACCATTAAATATGTTAGCTGTGAGCTTTAACAGATCAAAGAAATTCCCATATAGTCCTAGTTTTTGTGTTTATTTTTTTTAATTAGGAAAGGATGTTAGACGTTGTCAGATGTTTTATCTGTATTGATTGAGATGACCATGTAGTTTTTGTTTTCTACTAATATAGTGTATTGCATTGATTTTCATATGTTGATGTAACCTTATATAAATCCCACTTAGTTCAGGTATATATCTTTGTATATGTTGCTGGATTTGGTTTGCTAACATTTTATTGAGGATTTTTGTTTTATATTAATAGATAAAATGAACATAAACATTGGTCTGTAGTTTTCTTGTGATACTCTATGTCTGGTTTTGATAGGAAGGTAATACTGGACTCATAGAGTGAGTTGGAAAGTGTTCCTTCCTCCTCTATTTTTGGAGTACTTTGTGAAGGACTGAAGTTAATTCTATTGTAAACATTTGGCAGAATTCACGTATAAAGCCATTTGGGCTTTGGCTTTTCTTTGTGAGTAGATTTTTTAATACTAATTCAATCTCTTTCGTGTTATTGGTCTATTCAGATTTTCTATTTCTACTTGAGTCAGTTTCAATAGTTTGTGACTTTCTAGGTTTTGGATCATTTCATTTAGGTTAACTAAGTTGTTGGCAAACAGTTGTTCATAACATGGACCTTTTTGATTTTTGTAAGGTCAGTAGTAATGTTACCACTTTCACTTTTGAATTTAATAACTTTAATCTTTTTTTTTCTTGGTCAATTTAGCTAAAGTTTCGTCAATTTTGTTGATCTTTTCAAAGAAGGAACTTTTGGTTCTGTTGATTGTTATTTTTTTATTCTCTATTTCATTCATTTCTGTTCTATCTTTATTATTTCCTTGCTTCTATTTGCTTTGAGTTTAATTTGCTCTTCTTTTTCTTTCTTAAGGTTGATAGTTAGGTTGTTGATTTGAGATCATTCTTTTTTTAAATGTGTTTATAGTTATAAATCCCCATCTAAGCACTGCATTAGCTACATCTCATGAGTTTTGGTGTATATATGTTTTTGTTTTCATTTAACTCAAAGCATTTTCTAATTTCCTTATGATTTTTCCTTTTCTAGAGTTATTGGTTATTTAGGAATGTTCAGTTTAATGTCCACTTTTTGTGAATTTCCCAAATTTCCTTCTGTTACTGATTTAATTTCATTCCATTGTGGTCAGAAAACATATTGTGTACTATTTCAATCCTTTTGACTCTATTAAGGCTTGTTTTTTGACCTAGCATATCGTCTGTTCTAGAGAATGTTCCATGTGTACCCGAAAAGGATGTATATTCTCTTTTAAGTAGAATGTCCCATCGATGTCTTTTAGTTCTAGTTAGCTTACAGTACTGTTCAAGTCTTCAATTTCCTTGTTTATCTTCTGTCTGGTTTGTTTTATTTGTCACTGAAAGTGAGAACTCCAACTATTATTGTTAATTATCTACTTCTCCCTTCAATTCTACCAGTTTTTGTTTCATGTATTTCAGAGCTCTGTTATTAGGTACATATAAGTTTATAATTGTTATGAATTTCAGATAGATTGATTTTTTTTATAAAATATTCTTGTCTCTATTAATTTTTGTCTTAAACTCTATTTTGTCTGATATTATTAAAGTTACTTCAGCTCTCTTTTAGTTATTGTTAGCATGGTATATATTTTCCCAACCTTTTACATTTCGTCTGTCTGTGTCTTTATATCTAATGTGTCTCTTATAGACAGCACATAGTTGAATCATGTTTTTTTCCATTCATTCTGCCTGTCTTCTGATTAAAGTGTTTAATCCATTTGTTTAATAATTTAATGTAATGTCTGTAATTTTGCTATTTGTTTTTTATGTGTCTTATGTCTTTTGGCCTCTCTAGTCCATTACTGCCTTCTTATGTGTGAAACAGATAATTCTACTGTACCATTTTATTTCTCTTGATGTTTCTTTTACTATGTTTTTAAAATTATTTTCTTGGTGGTTCCCCTGAGGATTATAATTAACACCTTAACGTGCAACTATGGATTTTGTCTTGCTTCAAGTTTCTCCTTGGAATTTAAATAGTCTAGTCAAAATTAACTCCAGAAAAGTAAAAAAGAGCTTTTCAATTCACAAACATTGTGTTTAAGTACACAGTGGAAAGTTGCTATTATAACAAATACCTGCCTCTGGTATGAACACTTACCTTGTCTAATAGTGCATTCTGCCACAATCTAAAGATACTGAGGTAACTTCTATCCCTGGCACCGAAAGATGTAAAGAAAAACTGAAAAAAAACATAATAGGATAATTTTAATGTCATTACAAAAAAGGGAAAAGTACCTGTCACAAAGGTCTGCTGGAACTTGCTGTGGTCAAAGCAAACTTGTAGGTCACCACTCCTACTTGACATAGTATTTTTGTTTAACTTTTAGACAAAAAAACAGGTAATTGGTACATGAATA